GGGCAGGTGGGGATTGAACTCATGCGGAAGTGGCTTAAGCTTCTTAGTGCAGTGCTTTAACCCGCTGTGCCACCAGGGAGGGCCACATATATGTATTTTTTAAAAAGACTTATTTATTTATGCATACAGAACTGGGGTACAGATCAGAGATGCAGGGGTGTTGAGAGTCAGAGTGGGGAGCAGAACAAGCAGATTGACGAAGTACACTGCTGAGGGGAGCAACAGGGAGAGTGAGCTAGGAGAGGTCTGCTGCACCATGTGGGTCACCTCTGGGGCCAGGGATCGAACTCCCACTGAAGTGGCTGTGGCCAGTGGCCAGTTTCCAGTGCTTTACATTAACCTGTTGTGCCACCAGGGAGGGCCCTACATATATATATTTACAATAAATGTATTCATATTATATTACTTAAAAAAGTTAAAAGCAGAAGGAGAACAGTAGCTTTATATATATTATATTGTATACAGTACAATATATACAATGTATCATACATGATATATATTATTGTACTATATATCATACAATGTATATATTATACATACACTATATGCGATATACAATGTAGATATAACAGACAGTACAAATATGCATATGTAAACATATATATATGTATACTTACTAATATATATGCCAATATATTTACTAATAACTCATGTAGATATTATTTCATGCATATTATATATGACAATTTATAGATGCAAATTTATATTATATTTACATATAATATAAAGGGCTGTATATAAAATTACTGCTCTCCTTATTCCACTTTTTCATTTTTTAATGAAGCCTGACCAAATGAACCTGGTTGTAAATAGTTACTGCCACATGGAGAAGTGGTTGTAAATAGCACAACCCAAGAGAATGCAAATTCAGATTATTTGGTTGGTCTACATATTTTATTCCTTAAAACAGTTCATCTGAACCAGATGGGTCAAGAGTCTTGGGAAAGTTCTTGGTTTTCTCCACTTGACAGACACCAAGATTCCAAGTTGTGTTGAGAACTGAGTTACATGGCTCCTCCTCTCTCTGGATGCCTCCGCGCCAACCAGTGTGTGCAGGAGGCCAATATGCTTCAGGCAGCTCCAAGGAACAGACACTTCAGCTCAGCGCCCAGGAGCCAGCATGCAGCCTCTGGCACTCTTTGAAAGTCCTTCCCACAGGCCAAATCATTTACCCAACTCCCACTGGTAAAGTGCTTCTGACAAGCTGATGTCTATGGGAAAACCTCACCAGGACGGTGTCCCAACTGAATAATTCACAAGATACACAAGTTAGAAAGAGTAGCTCACACCCCAAAGCCTCATACTCCATGGACTTCAGGTGCATTTTCCCAGAGATATAAAAATAATGACAGAAAAAAATCCTACATAGCTCATCTCCCCGTCCAGCTCCCACACCTGGTGGAGCCTGGGGCACCTGCAGGCTTCAGTAGTTCTACTCTATTAAGTCAGTTCCTCAGATCCCAACATTCAGGAAACAGCAGACTTGGTCACAGTTCCAGAGGGTATGAGTTGGTGGAAAAATGGAAAGACTCATGTTCTGGGTAGTTCTGACAAGCACATAAGGGAAGTTAAATAAAGGAGACAGGAGAATTGTAGGTCACTAAAAAGTATAAAAGTAGAATTCTGAATGCCTTAGCTGAGGGAACCAGTGCAGGAAGTTGCTTTCTAGAAGAATCTCTGGCAGTGCAGCTGGGTCTCCTGAGCCCCTTGGTGTTTTGTAGAAGTTCCTCTGAGGTTGTCAAAACTTAGAAGACTGTGGGCTGCTGTTGAGTCTGGCTCCTGAGAGTGACCAGGAAGATCACAGAAAAGCCCCCAAAGCCCTCCCTGCTGCCTTTGTTAATCATTCTTCCTTCCTCTCCAGCTGAGATCTGATGAGCTACCTGTGGACATCCCCCATCATATGCAAAGCAGAGAAGAGCAGAAAAGAGAGAAGGCAGCATTTTGTCAGTGACAAGATGCAAGTTTAATTCTGAAGTGAACTTTAGTGAGTGCACCATATGGCCTTGAGCAAATGGCTTAATTCTGCTACTCTAAATCCTCATCTGATGCCTGTTTTTTAGGGTCATCATGAGAATTACAGAAGATGATGACTACAATGTACTGAGAACGGAGCCGGGTAGGTAAGGGATGCGAGCAGTGACTGTAATAAGATGGAACAGCAGCGGAGACCACAGAGCGCCTGAATACATGACCCGAGGTCACTGCTTAGCTGATGTATGGCAATTTCAGGGCATCTCCTGAGAAACCTAACATATCTTGAACTTGTTCCTCAGGGCATCTTCAAGATAATAACTTTATTTTAGTTGGGAATTCTCTTTAGTGCCTACAAGAATTTTCTGCATTTCCATTAGAAAGTGTCAGTAATTTAGAAATTTCTTTTCAAAATAAAACCTATTAGAAGCCTAAATCTGTAGCAGCTGTCTGTTAGTAGCATGAATCAGTAAGAATGAGGGTGTATTATTTTGGCTTTGGCCGACGCTTTCATTTTGTCTTGATTAGATTAAAGTAAAACTGAACACACAACCATTTCAAGAATGTGTTTTCATGTGTGGGCATACGACTTCTATAATTTCATTCATTAGATTTCAAACTCAGAATTTGTGCAGTGTCAAAACCAACTCACCAGCATGGGCTTTGAGGATATGTGTTTTCAGCCGGCTGTTATAGGAGGACTTGAAGGAGCAGAGTTTGCATCGGAATGGTTTGTGATGTCCGTGATGGGTTTGCATGTGGCGATCCAAACTTGATGTAGAAGGGGGAGAAACACAATGGAATACAACATGATTAAAAATTGTACACAATATTTTCTTATTGCCCTTTCATAGGAATCACATTTCTAAGCCAGGAGTCATTCTGTTACTTTCCAAAGATGGATGTTTACCCCAAAAAAGGCTTTTCTTTGGTAAGGGTTATTGTACCTACCCGAAAAGGGGGAGGAAACTAAATGAAGAGATGGAGAATCTACCTGGTTAAAAGACATGGTAGTGGAAACAAGTCCTGGTAGATTTTTATTTCGCCCTCTCTAGAAGCACTAATAATTGGACAATATATTAAAAAAAAAAAAATCAAAACATTATTGAATTCAAGTTTTCTGCCGAGTCAGTGAGAAGTGCCTATCAAATTCTCTTAACTATGTTCCTTAACATATTTTAAGAAAAAGAATTCGAGAAAATTTGTTTAATAAAAACTGGCTTTCTTTTAAAATCTCATTCTGCTTTAACTGTGAATACTCCAATGAAGAGGGAAGGTTTCCAAGTGTTGAAATTACTTGCAGTGCTCTGACTTATTCCCAATGTCTTTGTAAATATGGAGGCACAGGGCGGGTGTGTTTAAAAAGTCATGTGATCAAAAGGCTGGCATTCCCTTTAATAAACATGGCCAAGTCTGCCATACATCTGTCTTCCAGAAGCAACATCTAAGGAAGTTATTTAATTATAACAAACTCAAAGTATTTTATAATTACTAGTCTAAAAAAAAATGATAAATCCACCAAACAAGGTGTGGGAAGAAGTTCTAATTTGTATTAGCACCCAGAGAACTAGATTCCAGTCTAAATGACTCATATGGGAATGGTACTGCTTACCATTTAAACATGGAAAGCTCTCTTGAGTTCCAAAGTAGTATTTTCAATTATCTCTGGACATCTCCCTCTGGATGTCCTTTAGCTATCCTAAACTCAACTAGCCCTAACAAGCCTATAGCTACTTTTTCAACAAAACAAATTTTCTTCACACCTTTGTTTCTGTAAAGAGCACTATTATTCTTTCAGTAGTCAACCAACTAGAAAACGCAGGTGCCACTTGTACTCTGCTTTGTCCCTCCAGCCCCTGCATTAAGTCCATTTTTCTAAGTCCTATAGATTCTAGTTCCCTCAATCATTCCCAAAATTCCATCCCGACTTCTTGGATCACCTTCTATTTCCTAATTGGTCTCCCCACCCCCCTCACACACACACACACACACTCAAAAGGACAATCTATGGAGTCAGACTGCTTGGATCTAATCATAGCTATTTTGAAATGCTGTATGACCTTAAGCAAGTTACAAAACAAAATTATTCTATCATTATGACATCATTTATGATTTTTTTATTCATAAATAGAAACACTAACATGGTCAAACCACATAGGTATGAGAAGATGAAATAATATGGGAAGGAGCTTAACATAGTGCCTGACATATAGTGAGACTCCAGAAATGTCAGCAATTATGAAGACTTCACATATTTCAAAGTATTCTTTTATCAATGTGTTTGTTTCACAAAGACTCCAACATGATCTCTACTCAAGTATTCAGACTTGACTTTCCACTGTTCCTTTACATCTTACTTAAATATTGTCAAACTGCACTATCTGCTAGATTCCCAATAAGCCTCACACTCTCTTCCTCAGGTTCTTATCCCTTCATCTTTTCTTCTATATCATATTTCCAAACCATTCAAGCCCATCTTCCATCTCAAGACTTAATTCCAAAAACACCCTAGTGAATAAACATCCCAGGTTCTTTCAAAGTAGATGCAACATTTCCTTTTGAAAACCATAGCATTTTATTGATATATAGGTATATACAATAAAACATCATGCACATACATACTGATATATCAATTAAATATCTAATATATAAACACTTAAAGCTGTGAATTATTTTGCTTCCTAAACTCCCATAGATGGCTGATCGTGTTCTATTCATCTTTATAGCCCCCCCTAAGCATCCACCACAGTGCCTAGCATGGGGTGTAATCATTTACTCAATGATTGATTGAGTTTCCACTGTGGGTCAGAAAACGTGACCAATGCTCTTCAATAAACACGTATTGACTTGGTAAGACCGCCACAAATTTTAAGTGGATCTGATGGCAAAGATTAGATATTAGGCCGGGTATGATAATAGTCTATAACCTATCCTAACCTCTAAAGAAGCATTGCCTTCCCCTGCCTTTCAACAACCACTAACTAGCACTTTTATCTTTGATAAGAAACAAATAACCCATCATTTCTTTTCAATTATCATAAAAATAAACAGTATGTCAGTCTTATAGTCACCTTCATCCAAGACTGTCAGAACACATCATTGAACATTTGTCTCTTATAAAGTTGAAAGGGAAAGACAACAAAAATTGATTTTAGAGCCATCTCTCTGCCTACTACCCTGGAAAGCATTCCACAGTACCCCAAACTTGTAATCTCAAGGCTCTGATGGACAACAGGAAACTTCCTTTCCTTAAGCTCCCTCTAAACTTCTTTATCGTGCCAGGTCTTTTTAGGAATACAAAGCAAGGATCTTTATTCACACAATTAACAGTTCTAATTTTACTGTCTTAGCTATTTTGCTTCCCAAATGGAATTTCACTTCCTCAAAGGATGATTAGGTTCTGGATAAATGTTTGACAGATGCACCCATCAACCTGTCCACTCCCTGGTCTTCCCTTGTGTAAATCATAGCAACACCTTCCAGGCTGTCATTTAAAAAATGCCCACATTTGCCAAGTTTAACATCAACCAAACAGTTTCCTATCTTGCCCCCTGGACAAATGAGGTGACTGAGGCTCAAAGTAATGAAACAGCAGGTATGAGCCATGTGTGGGGCCTCTGGACTCCTCCAAGTTCCTGTTCTAGTGAGCTTTCCTTCTACTATTCCACCTCTTCCCGGTTACCACTTGCAACCACTCCATAGCACTTACTTGTGCCTGAAAGCAGAAACAAAGGAGCAATACTGGCAGCTGTACTTGTCCTCGCGGGTAAACATGGCCAGGGCCAGATGGCTCCTCTCATGAGAACGCAGCCCCTGCATGGACATCAGGACTCTGTCACATTGACTACAATGGTATCCCCCCGGCCGGGTTTCATCCTCCAACATTCCATCAAGCAAGCAGTGTTCACCATCCACCCGGTCCACCAGGGCGCCAGTGGTATCTTTGGCTGCTTCCGGTCCATCCAGAAACAAGTGGGAAGGGTCTTCAGCCTCCTGCTAAGAGAACCACACACACACACATGCCCCACCAACAAAATAAATATCCATCATCATTGCTCAGGCTTTCCTCCTCTCCCTTCATTCTCCCAAATTCATCCGCATTTCATTGTTAAAACTTCCTCCCCTGCCTCTCCAGCTCCCCCTAGAGGAAGGGCACAGGTGACTGCCATTCTTCATGCAAGGGTGATATGGGGGCAAGGGGTCCGGACAAAGGTTACAACTGCCTGGGAAATGTGAGAGAAAAGTTCACCTACTCTGAAGACAGTTCATCCACTTATCTTCCATCTTAAAAAGAAAATTCAAATTTGTGATCCTACCTGAACTGACATAAAGCAGGGTTAGGATTAAGGCTCAGAGAAAAAGAAAGGAAGAGAAAAAGCAGAGTGGTTTGGGCCTCTAGGAGCCTTGCACCATCATCTGGGAATGAAGGAGAGTGAAAGGTCTTGCCCTTTGCTGCCCTAACTCATCCCTACTTGGCAGGTGGTGACCTCACGCCTGGACTAAGAGACGATGTTCATTCAACTGAAAAAAGTAAGGAGCAGCCTTATTAGTTGCTCATGTTTTGAGGTGGCTCCTTGGTTTATGTACTGATTACACAGGAAGAGCCACTCACTCTCTCTTTCTCAGCCAAGCCAGGAAATAAGCCCCGGCCACAGTGCACCGGCTTAAAAGAGGCTGATGGAGGCTGCTGGGGGTTGGGGTGGTGGTGTAAAGCTCAGCTCAGCAGACCATGGGAGGGCTTCAGCCTTGGATGAAGAAAAAACAGAGGCTTTGCACCTTCATGCCACACTGGCAACACAGGACACGAGATCAGAAGGGCAGATGACAAAACATGTATTTATGTACCCAGAGAGAAAGAGCAGAGCCCGGAACTAACTTCTCTGCTCCCAAAACGTATACTTAGCAACACCCCAGAAGGCAGGCAGGGGGGCTCCGTTATTGGGACAGTGGCTGCTATTAGGATTATGACCTTCAAAATAGGTGTCCAAATACAGGTGGGGGGGAGGGGAGAGATAGTGACATATGGGAAAGGGGGTGGAGGAGACAAATCGGGTCAGCGGGCTCTCAGGGCCAACTGTGCCTTGAGGCTTTTGTTTCGGAACAATGTCTCTGACACTCCTAGGGAGGCCAGGGGGAGAAGCAAAGGGTGGGTTCTCCTGAGTGCGCAGCGCCATCAGCCAGATGTGGACATAAGAAGGGAGGCAGTGGGAGGAGCAGAAGACGAAGGGAACCGAAAGCACTTGATCCCTCAAGCGCTCAGGCACCTTTGAAGAGCACCAGCTAACGGCACTAAAGACGGAAGAGAAGGGTGACCCAAAGCCTCCTGTACCGAGAGGCCTGGATCTTCCGTTTCCACCAAACTATCGGCGCGGAAGGGAACCAGATCGAAATGCAACCGGGTCGAAACACGCAAGATGAGGAAGGTCCAACCTGCAAAGAAATCAAAACAAGGCAGCCCAATCCAAGCAGAACTCAGGAATGCCCCGGTTCTGGGACGCCCTTTCCTGAGCTGCTTGGAGCAAGGGGGTTAATGCGTACTTGGAATCGCTCACACACAAGACGGCTCATCCAGACCTCCCAGGGCTCACCTTCACGGCGGACACCGCAGGGACGCTGCCGTACTGGACGTGCTTTCGGAGGTGATTGCAGATGGCTCGGAGCGTCGGGTGCACTTCCACACAGAATTTACATTTGTAGCCCACCACCTTCCTCTCCTTGATCTTTGGCACCTCTTCTAAGTGACCAAAAGGCTGGTAAAATACAGTGGTAGCCATCAGTACTCCGAGCCCTCCCTCAATTGCCGGCATTTATTCTTGTAGTTTACTAGCAGATTTTATTTTAAAGCAGATTAGCAGGTTAAAAACCAAGGGAGAGATATGTGAGTATTTTTACAAAACGGATTCGTCAGTCGTGGCATACTGCCTACTACGCAGAGTCTCTGGAACCCAAACATGTTACAACTTGTGAGTAGAGAAGATGTCTCTGCAGAAGCCTCATCGTCACTGTCACCAAGTTATCTGGTTTTCAAACCAATTTCAACTACGCAGGTGAAACGTTGCATAGCTACGCCATTAATGAACTTCTTGACAAAACATCTACTCCTTGAGCTGTCGGGTTCCCGTAGCAGACTGCAGACCAAGACATGGCTGAGAAGTGCTAATGATACCACAAGGCGGCCCACACTGCCTTAGGGAAGAGAGCGAGCGTTGTCATGGAACTGGGCCTCAGATAAGGCTACTTGGCAGAAAGAAATGCAGAGAAACCACCCCAACCCTCCCCTGGGAGCCTCGGGAGGAGTGGAGGGAGGGAACAGGACCTTGGAGAAGGGCGAGCTTAGAATGGGGGATAATCAAGCTCGGAATGTCTAATTGACTTATTGAGCTCTCTGGCAAGCTAAGTCACTAGGAAGCCTGTAGCAGTTTGGCTGGCAACGAAGAAGCGCATGTGGGCACCAGTGATGAGAGGCCTCCTGGGGGAAGGGAAATCAAAACATATCCTTACCCTCTCTTGTTTGAAATCTGCAAAAGCACCATCTGCATATTTCTGCTTGCTCAAAAGCTGTTTCCTCCTCTCCTGACGTTTGGCACGCTTCTGGAATTCCTCATTGTGAATGTTCAAGTGTGAGGTCAGCTCCGCTGTGCTTTGCAGTTTGCTATCACAGTGCTTACACTGGTAGGCGGAGCTCTGCAAGCGGGGGCCGCTGCCCAGAATGACGAAGTCCCTCTTGAGGTCCCGGCTGTGGTGGTCAGTGTAGTGCATGCACAGCAGCTCCGCCGTGCTGAAGGACAGCTTGAAGCACTTGATGCAGCGGAATGGGAGCCACTCGATTTCCTGAGCTTCGCCCTCTACCTCGGCTTTCTCGAAGCTGCCTCTCTCTTCCTCTTCCATCAGCATCGGCTTCTCGTGCTCGTCGGCGTAGACCGCGGTGAAGTAACCCCCCAGCTTGCTGGCATGCTGCTTCTTTGGGAACACCCCGGGGTGGCGCTTCATGTAATGGGACACGATGCCTTTCTTGCTGAAGGACTGGAAGGAGCAGAGAGAGCACTTTTTCTTCTCCACTGCCCGCCGCAGCTCCTCGCTGAGCTGCGGGGAGTCGTCCTTGGGTGGGGACGGGATGATCACCTTGTTGGGCTTGTCGCTGATGGTCCTGGAGGCTGCCAGGCAGTGGGTGTAATAGGCATCGATGTCGTGGCGCTTCTGGTAGTGGGCGGCCAGCCCTTTGCGGATGGGGTTGGTGTAGGCACACAGGGCGCACTTGAAGAGGTTGTTCTTGCCTTCCGGCTGGGCTCGCACGTTGTTGTGCTTAATGCGGTAGTGCCTGGCGATCCCCTTCCTCGTGGAGCAGAAGTACTTGCAAAGCTGGCACCGGAACACAGTGTGGGAGACCAGGTGCGAGGTAGAGAAGTGAGAAGTGGACACGGGCTCCTCTCCCACCTCCTCCTCGGTAATGGAGACTTGGGAGGGGCTCACTTCAGTGGTTATCTCAGGCTCGAGGGACACTGGCAGCTTCGGAGGTGACTGGGAAAACACATCGAATTCAGGCTGATTATGATACTTCTCATAGTGGATTTTGAGTTTCTCCAAAGTGCCATGTGTGTAGGGACACAGTTTGCAGCGGTAGGCACCGTACCCTTGCTTGAAGATCCGGCTCGTCTCCTCCACGTCATTCTGGGTGATGTCGGCAGATTGTTCCACGTCGTGCACAAAGTCCTCAGCGGTCACCTTGATGGACGGGTGTCGCTTCTGGTAGTGGGTCAGGACGCCGTGGATGCGGGTGTTGATGTAGGGGCAATGTCTGCATTTGTAAACGGCGCCGGGGTTGATGTCGATGTCCTGGGCAAAGTCAGCAGCCTTCACTTTCATGCCAGGGTGCTTCTTCCCATAGTGGGTAAGAAGGCCATGCAAGTTGTTATACTCAGACTGGCACACCGTGCACTGGTAAGGGGTGGAGGATATGGCGGGGTTGGCTGAAGCTAGCTGGATGCTTTTCTCTGGGGAGAGTCTTGCATCCTCTGGGCACTCAGCTTCCTGCTCGGGGAGTGGAGTGGGCATATTGTTTTCACAACTCAGGGGGCCCACCAGGTCTTCAGATGGAGCCATGGGATTCTCAATGACATCCTTCTCCTTGATGATATCCAGCAGCACCGACTCATCACCGTTCATGGCCCAGGGGTGGAAAGCTTGGTAGTGATTGGTGATGTCCCAGATGGAGATGGCCTCAAAAACACAGTCTCTGCATCTGTAAGTTTTGGCTTCAGCTGGCATGGCGAGAGAAGGAGGAGAGGGGTCTGGCCCTGCCCAGAGCTTGGTAGCCATGTACGTGTAGTCGACATAATGCTCTGGGTGCCTCCTTTGGTAATGCAGGAGCAAGCCATTGGGCTCCGTGTGGGAATAGATGCACCACTCGCAGTGGTAGCCAGCCTCTATCAAACCATCTAGAAACGCCCATCGCATGATGGACGTGACCGTGGCCTTCAGGGCGGGGTGGTCTTTCTTGATATGCTTCCTCAGTGCATAGAAATAGGGAGAGGTATACGAGCACTGCCTACATTTGAGCGCCCGAAGCTTAGTCTTGTCCCGCTCCACATTCGAGGAGGGGACAAGCAGGCAACTGGCAGGCTTCTTCTGGTTCCGGTCACAGAGGCTTCGGATGGTGGCCGTGTGCTGCCGGATCACATCTGCGTTGGCCTTGAAGTCGCGGTGCTTCTTCTGATAATGGATGAGGACACCTTTGACGGTCCGGTTCCCGTAGTCACAGTGCTGGCAAAAGAACATCTCATTCTCCACAGGGAGGCCATCCCGCTCAGAGCTGCTCCGGTTCAGCGGCTGCATGGGGGCAGGTGGCCGGGGGGAGCCTGGGGGCCCCTCGGCCCCTCTCATCATTGCAGCTGTGGGAGGAGCCTGTCTGATATATTTGGCAGTAACCTTTATTTCTGGGTGTCTTTTCTGGTAGTGGACAAGCACTCCCACAACTGACCGATTGCTGTAGGAACAGTGTTTGCAGTAGTAAAGCTCAGTACTGAGGTCTGGTGGCGGGGGTGGTGGGGGGGGTGGGGAACCCATGTTGGACATTTTGGGAGACATTGGAGCACCCACCTCAAATGATAATTGAGAAAGGGCAGAGCCCCTGTCCACAGACACCATTCGCATGGTTTTCTGGATTCTAAAGTAGGAAGCCTTTTCTTCAGGGTGTTTCTTCTGATAGTGAACCAAGACAGAATGCATGTTGGGGCTCGCGAACGAGCAAACGTCACAATCATACACGACAACCGTGTTAACCGAGGGGTCCTTCTGATTTTCACATTCTGGAGTAAAGGTCTTTGAAGGAGTGCTTTTATTAAATGGAGAGGGCATACCACCACCACGAGCCACGGGCGTGGAAGTCGCCATGTTCTTAGGCGCTGAATTCAGAATCTCCCTCAAGGTCTGGGATTCTGTATTCAGCCCCTCCTGCTGCTCTACAACATAGCTTGAAAATATCATCGCGTTGTTTATCTTCACCGTGGGATGCATTCTTTGGTAGTGTGGCATTAGGCTTCTAACATTCGGGCTGGTGTAGGAACAAAACCGACACCGGTAGATCAGGTCCGAATGGTCAAAGTTGAGTACATTCATGGCTTCTGGGTGGTGTTCACCGTAATGCTGTTGCAGATCTTCGAAGTTTGTGTAATCGATGTAGCATTCCAGGCACCTGTACACTGCGCTGTGATCATTGGGGTCCAAGATGTACCGAAAGCTGAATTTAATGTACGGGTGCATACGCTGGTAGTGGGTGCTGACACTCCGAGCAGATTTGTTGTTAAAGTCACAGTGTTTGCAATAGTAAAGCCTTCCAGAGTCACCAAAGTCCGTATTTTCGTTGCTGTGCTCCGTTCCGTAGATGGGAGGCTGAGTGTTCAGCAGAGCAGTGCTGGAGACCTGGTGATCCTTCATGTTGGCTGAGGAGCCGTAATAATCCTCTTCGTCTTCAGAAAGGGTGAGCTCAATCTCAGCCCCATTGGTGGCGTTGTAGTCATGGGTGACGCTTCGGAAGTTGGGCTCTTTCGGGGGCTCACTGGCATCTCTCGCCCAAATCTGTTGGGCAGAAAAGGAGGTGGGCACCTCCAGGACTGGCTCTGTGGGTTCTTCTTCCCTGTCCAGCTCTACCTCTATCTCCACTTCGTTGTCTTCCTCTTCCTCCTCGTCATCTTCCACGTTGATCACCGCATCTTCCTGCTGCTTGGTTTGGTTGATCTTGCTCTGCAGGTTGCTCGCTATCTCATCGATCCTCGTTCTCTTCTTCACCGGTGACAGGTCGAGAGGAAAGTCGTTAGCGAGCTTCCGGGAGGCCTTCGCTACAAAGTTGTTTTTGGAGGACAACCCGAGAATTGAGGTCTGACTTTTCTTCACAGTGTTACTGGAAGAGGGGTGGCTGTCTGTCTCGCTTTCCAATGGCAGGCTCGAGGGCTGCCCCTCGAATTTTGGCAAGTTGTCACAGAAGGAGTGTTTATGCTGCTGATGGACTCTTAGCCCTTTCAGAGTCGTGGTGGAGTAATTACACATGGTGCATTTGTAGGGGTGCAGGGGCGGGGCTTGCACGGGGGGCTGCGGCTGCTGCGTCGGCGGCGGCTGGGGCTGTGGTGGCACCTGATGGGGGTGCTGCAGCGGCGGCGGCTGCGGCTGTGACGGAGGTGGTGGTGGCAGTGGCGGCGGCGGTGGCGGCGGCGGCTGCTGCTGCAAGGGATCCAGCATGACTCCTGACTTCCTGCCGTTGATGCTCGAGCTCTCGTAAGACAAGACACCTTCATTGAGCGAGGAAGAAATGCTCTCGCTCTGAGAATTCACAGCGTCCCAATCTGATGTTGTACCCGTGTGACACTGTTTGTGAGCCCCAAGTTTTAATGAGCTCTTGCAAGTAAACGGACATTCGTCACATTTGTAGACTGCTGTCTTTCCAGACAAGTGGATGTTCTCTATGTGCCGGGAGATGCTCCGGCGATGCATGGTGAGGAAGGGGCAGAAGGGGCATTGGAACCTATTCATGAATCTTCTAAACGGAATCCCCTTGGTCTCTAATAATTTGTTGCCATCTGAGCCCATCAGCTGCTCTGCAGACATGCCTGATGTCTGGTGATCCATAGCATTTAAACCATTCTCACTGTCTAGTTCATTTAACTCTTCATCAGAACTGGAGTCATTCAGCATGCTGTTCGTTTCCAGGTCAGCAGAGGAATTGGTCATGTCAGCCATTCCGTAACGGGATCTCTCGGCCAGGTTAACGAGGCCAGAATTATGAGGTGACTTCGGCTTCATCTGAGGGTAAGACATGGGTGAAAACTTGGAAGCTGAAGAATTGGGTCTCATGATGGAGTTACTGATGGAGCCCCTGTAGTTGGACACATTCGCGTTGGGTAGCTCCCGGCTTGCAGCATTCATGGACAGATAGGTGGAGTTAGAAGTGGGGCTGGGAGCATTCTTGTTCTGCACGTCAGGTAGGTTAGTCCCTTCTTGCTGCTGCCTGAGGCTGGACAGGATCTTGACCATGCTGCGGTGTTTCTTCATCATGTGGTCGCACCAGCGTTCTCGGCGGGGCGTCTGGTAGCTGCACCACTCGCAGCAGAAGTTACCTCGAGACTTGGTCAAGGGCTTGACCATGGATTCCAAGATGCTGCGTTCCACAACCTCTGCTGGCAGTTCCTTGCAAGGGTCCTGCAGGGACACGGGTGGGACCATGGGGTCTGGCATTGGAGCAGGGGCAGGTGGAGGAGCAGAGGTCTCCTTCAAATTGTTCTTGTGGTACATCTTCTGATGCTTAATTATTCTTGCCCTCCTTGGTGACTTGTATGTGCAAAACTGGCAAGAGAAGACCTTTCCAAATCCCTCATGCATCATGATATTATAATTTAAGGATCCTGGAACAGGGGGTCCCACCGAACTCCCTTCGGCTTGAGCTCCGTGGACCTTCCTGGTGTGTTCTATGAGGAGGTTTTTTGACCTGAAGTAGCGTACGCAGAACTTGCATTGAAAAAACTTGTTTGTTGGTTTGGGACTAGGGGCAATATGCTGACCATAATATCCTGGACTGTGGCCATAGTAACTTCCGGTCCCCAATGCAGTCGCATTTTGACCTAAAGAGAAAGCATATGGTGAGTGGGAAGAGAAAAGCAGAGCAAAAGAGAATTAAGAAATTCAATCATGCAAATCAATTTTTCTTTTCAATTATTCTTCATTAATGAACATCACAGTCAAAGGGCCTAACATCTCAAGATGAGGCCCTGAAGAATATAAGCAGAGCATTAATGAACACACACATTTTGCTGCTCACGGATGAAGACGCATCATGCAGTTTGAGGTACAAAACCCGCCTCATCTCCGTCCACGTGTCATAACAGCTGTTAATAACACACATTTGAAAAATGGCAACATTTCCTCTAGAACATCACAAAATACTACCTTGTTGTCCAGATTACAAGGAAAAGAAGAAACACAGGGATGCTGAGAGGACAATCACCTAGGATACTCAACATGAGAAACACGGTGCCAAAATCACAAAAATCACTTCTAAAGAGCAGCAAACTCAGTCACAGCCGTGCACCAGGAACCCTGGCTGCAGGCTGAAAACAGATGAGAGCAAAGAAATACATCAGGTCTGTGCATTGAGTCTAGGTTTACCTGATAAATCCTCTGCAATCGCAAACTCATCCTTTATAGAAGAAAACTCCACCTCCGTCTGATTACTGGCATTCATGGACCCGGATCGTGGCTCATTAGCATTGTCTTCAGCAACATCAGTTGGCTGCAAAAATGCTGTGTGGACATCCTGAATATGTGCCTTGAGATCTTCATAAGATGGGGCTCTGAAGTCACAGCCATCACACTGGAGCACCTCCATGATCTGGGTCTAGCCTCTCACATCAGGAACCTGCGGTGGAAGTCAGAACAGAACATCTTCAGGAATGCGGACGGAGTACAAGTCCAGCCATGGGAAAAGTTCTCGTATCGGCACATTTCTCTTACTGAACTTTGCTATTGGAAAACTGGCCAAAGAAAGGCAATCAGACATAACAGGATGATGTCCTTGACTACATAATTTCCAAGGAGGGGGGAGGAGAACAATAAACTTTTTCTAGCTTGATATAAATGTATCTTCACATGTCATTTGTCAGAGAAATGTCAAAAGTTTTAGCAGATTCAGAACTTCTTGACTGAATTCAAATTTCTGGCTCAGTTAATACTGACTTTGGTTGTGGCTCAGAGCCATTCCATTTTCTTTTTGAACTAGAACCTTCTCAGAAGGAAAAAGATGTCTCTGTCCAAGAGAAAGGGTAATTTTCAATTTTCACTAACTGTTTTAATATAACACTACAGCTTCCAAATGGCCAAACAGCATTGAATCCCAGAGTGGTGGTAGAGAGAACTTTTGTTGTACTTTTTTACTCTCTTGACTGATATTGGGGTACACCTCTTTTCTCCCTTCCCCAAATAATTTAGTTGGTTTTTTTTTAATCCATGAGCTAAATGGTTATTTGCTGTCTTACTACCTACCAATTATAACCTAACAGCTTCTCCAATCTAATTAGGTCATAAAATATTTCTCATGAGATTCTCAAACAACCAAGTTTAGAAGACAATCCAGTTTCTACTTTAAAGTTGTACTTCAATTTACATTCAGGCAACAGATACAGTTTGGAAGAGGGTGATTCTAAGTCAAGACTTATCTTTTTCTACTTTTCTCTATTACAAACATGAAATATATCCTTGAACTGTGAACCTGGTGTAGAATGAAGCATAACCTGCCCCGGCTATTTTTACTCTATTTTCTGTGTGATTGAATCATGGCTGGCTTGACACTAACTCAATGGAAAATGCCACCACCGAGAAGTCAAAAGAGCATTAGAAAGGTGGAGCTCTTCCTATCTTAACACATAACACTGAGTTCAAATACACAATTATTATCTTAATGAGTGAGTTACTTCATTGAGCTCACCGCACAGTCTATTGAGTCACTGTGATCTAGAACCAGATGTCCAAGAACTAGACCTGTAGCCAAGTCTCTCTCTTCTTTTACTGCCCAGCAACTTTCTCCACTTCTATGGTAAAAGGTAAGTTATTTCTGTCGGAGGAGAAAGCCGAGTCAGATGCCAGTGTAGTTAGGGAAAGGAGTCCATGCAGGAGGATTTTCTATGAAAGAAGTTTCCTGATAGCCTGCTAAAATAACTCCTGGCAAGTCCAGCTCTGGACAGCCTGAGCTTGCAGAGTGAGACACAGATATTTACCTCCTCTTCTTTCACCCAGCAATTTATCCTTTTTCAATAAACATTGAACTGTACACCAGAGTCTTTTCAGCTAACTAAGTCTCAATATTCCAGATACACAAGCTTTTATGTCTAAGCACCAACCCAAATTGTGTGGAAGAGGTTGCTATCAGCTCTGGATCAAATTACAGCAGTCGCTGAGGCCCCACCCCACTTCTCCTTTCACACAGTCCATTAGACCTGAAAACAAATTTTTCCATGGTGCAGACGACTCCTGCATTTAGAACACTTCACAGAAAAAAGCAGATCATCCAGTGTGCTGCCCCATCCCCCAAGCTTAGTCCTTTCATCTCAGCCAAACAAGCCACAGCTCTGCTGAATGTGTTTATCACACTTTCAAGAGATATGAGCTCCTGCGTCACTGAAGCTCTAAGACTCACTAAGCTGCCCTAGTCCTGTGAGCTTTAGGAGCAGCCATTTTAGCTCAGAGCTTCTCCTCCGTGCACAACATGGCTTCTCTGGGATTCTGCTAGGCTGACAATCAAAATGAACAGAAGAGCAGTCTGGGCTCCTCCTATGCTCTTCTCCCAACAAAGAATGAACTGTTTTCATTTCTTTGCGAAAAGCAGCACCTTTCTCCTCTTCAAATGTCATTCACCAAGATCTCCGAAGGTTCTTTTATCCCATGATTGATATGACTGCTCATTAGTCCCAGAGAGCACTGGTTATTGCAGGACACTCCTGGACCAGACCCTGTCCTACAGCAGGGCTTGGGGGTGTGTGGGGGGACCTCCAGAACGCCTTGGCTTCTTGGGAGTCATCCTTGCACACAGAGAAGACATACCATCCGATTCTGTTTGCCAGATTCCAAAGTCTAATGACCTTTGTTAATCACCAGCCAGTCTGTCTGCATCAGCAGACCCTGCCAACAGACACACCCTTCAACACAAAGGCTGCAGCTATTCCCTTTAAAAGAGGTTCTCTGAAAGCTCCATTGTGTAGCCGAGAGGAAAACAAAATCTCTTGCCTTCAAAACTTCAAGCCTTTAGAAATAATGCAACAAAAGGCTTTCTGCTGAGTGTCTTTTGGAAAGTTTGAGCCTGGTTTGCACAACATCAACAAAATGACTGTCCTGCACCAGTAAAGTGGGGCGCCTTCAGCATCCGTCATCCACCAGGAGATAAAAATCCATCTCCCTACACGGTTCTCTAATATCTTGGGATCTTTAGAAGCTGTCGTCAAGGATTCTGCCTTTGCTGGATGTAAACACAAACCAACAGTCTCCTTGTTCTGCTACAAAGGAGATTAGAGGGTTATGAGCTCAGAAGGGAAAAAGGCAACGATTTGGAAAAAAGAAGAGATGATGAAAGTGATTTCCTAATGGGTTGGTTCTAGCTTTCATGTTGTGGCAGTCTCTACCTCCAAAACAGCTGAGTCGTACAGGAGGTTAATTTCCAGGCTGCTGAGAGCACCAGCCTCAGGTACAGCTGAATAGCCTTCAATTTGATGTCTGCACCAACTTCAGAAATGAGGACGTAGCCTCCTTTGAAAGCCATTTGCCTTTGTGTACACAACGTCTCCTGAAGACGCTGACAGTAGAAGAAAATAGAAATTACCGGCATGGTCTAACCAAAGCGAAGAAGCAGAAACTTGATGTGTCTGGGAGACTGAGGAGGTAAAACGTGTAAGAGGTTAAGAGCCGAGGAGAAGGGGGTGGGGGAAGGGAAAGACACAGAAACTAGACCTGAGGGTCACCATCCATCCACCAGTGTGTCCTTGCAGCAGATGGTGATGGTCTGGAGATGCCAACCACAGTCAGAAAGTAATGCAAAGAAATAAACGCTGTGTGTTTAATGGCTGCATCAACCTAGAGAGCGCAATACCTCTAAGGAGGTTAAACCAGGCACTGACCTGCTATGAAATGATGATTTCGAGTTCAAAGCTTTGCTCTCCTATTAATTTAAAAAGAGTATGATCGTGGGATTGGCACGATTCCCCCCACCCCCTGCCCTCAAGTATCAGCAAAATCAAATGCAGAAGAGGAAGCTTCTGAATTTATGAAAAAGGAAAGTGCTATCTCAAAAGGTCATGAGAAAGAGCTACAAAGCAAACAAGCACCCCTTCCTTTGCCTCCTACACTGTGGGTCCCAAAGCACCACTCCAGGCCCCTCGGGGTCAAACAGGTGTCTGATAACAGGACTCTAAACATCCCCCACCACGAACCTGCTAAGTTCTCAAAAGACCCAGCCCCTAATTGACTCGTCCACTGAAACTGACCCCCCCCCACCATTCTTACTACTTATTACCCTTCAGTACTACTTATGATTGGTTGTTGGCTTATTCAGTCTACACAATGATAGAGAATTTCAAAATGTAGAGCTCTGATTTACAACTTCACATCCAATTTTCACATCTGACAGACTCTTAAAGACATATTTAAGGAAAATCCAGAGATCCTGTTACAGATTTGGGATACACAAGAATGGAGAATGGGAAATTATGAACACAGGCTGTTCTCTCAGACTTCAGAACATAAATTTTAATTTATACCCTCTGCCCACCCACTTTCCACTATGCCTCAGTTTCCCTCCTGTGGAGGGGAAAAAAAAAAGACAAACCACAGCGTCATCATGTGTCCTTTCCACTCACTGGCCAGCGGTGTCATGACAGGCAGGAGGGCACCTTGGTCTCCCCATGTTCTCACAGTCTTGCCACCATCAACTCTGGTCCAGGTCAGCTTGCTGAGCTGCTGTGAAGCCCAGGAACATAAGTGTGGGCTTCACGCCCAAATTCCAAAGGTATCCAGAACGTGTCCAAATGAAAATGCAGACCTAGTCTGATCTAACTTGTTCTCTAACTGAAGGACCACAGGCCAGAAATAAAATGGTGAAGCGCCCCAGCCACAGTGATTTCGTAGTGGCTAATTATAACCTACAAAGCCTTTGAGAAATAGAAGCAGAAACACCATGAGATGCTCTTCCTCTGTCCACTCCAGAAACCTACTTTCACTCACAAGATGCTGAACTCCCCAGGTCTCCTGAATCATGGTTCTAATAAAAGGCTTTACTGAGCACCTGTTGTTTGCATATTTCTTCCTTTTCTCTCCTATGAATGGAAAAACCAATTATCTAAGGACAGATAACAGATGGATTACAGACACTGTGGGATAGTATAGCCAGAAAAGCAGGAAAATCAGGGACCTAAAGATCATTTTACAAATGCATTTGCAAATCAGAAACTGTCAATATGATGATGTCAAATGACTATGGGGTGTGTTGGATAACATCTAATTCAAGTCCAAGACCACAGATTGGGAGAAGGGAAGAATTTCCATGCAAAACAGAGCAAATATCATTCCATAATTCACTGATGCATTTTGGGTTACTATCTTAGCAAAAGAGGAATCCTGTCTCATCATTTACCACTTATTCTGTCATGGTCCAAGCAGAAATGCTCCTAGTTTAAGAATCATTTAAAACATCTGCCCAAACAGCACTGACTGAACATTGAGGTGCAGTTGCCTTTTAAGAACAGGAGCAGTAGTTATGGGATCAAACTTACAAATATAGAATCAGTCTCTCTCTCTGTTCCCTACCTATGAAATAATTAATTTTTTAATTTAATTTGAACTCAGATACGCCTATGTGCACTCTAAATTAACAGGAGT